TTGATCATTGACGCAAAAGGCCAATAGAAAGAATCAAAAGGAGTCCCATATATATATTTTCATAATGATATAAAGTAAGGCAGACGATCCCTTGTTTTTGGCCTAAGGAAAAGGTAGAAACCCCTCCATTATGTCAAAAGTGCTTAATAAAATTAGGTACATTTATTTTAAGTTCACATAAAATTTAACAATTGCTCTCATAATCGTGTCATCTTAGATGATTGGACTGATCATGGAAATCATCATGACCTTTTTATATGATGATATTGTTATCTATGGGAAAGTTAGACAGAGTCATGAATTATGAAGACAAGCAATTCTAGCGTTGGAGCCAACACAACAGAGGAGAGATTCAATTTAAAAACAAAAGACAGGAGTGTGAGATAGATAAAGCATGTGCTGTTAATTTCCCCAGTTATGTACAATTGTGCTATTAATAGGGCAAAAAAATAAAAGGCCTTATTTGATATGATGAAAAAGTTTTCAATGGAATTAAAATTGAAATCAGAATAGAATTAGATTATAAAAGTATGTTTGGTATGAGAATGAAATCCTTATATAATTTTAATAAATATATATATGTCTTAAAATAGGACAAAACAAAATTGCCCATTTCAACAAAAAAATTATTCTCTATATTGCAACAGCAACGGCATAGAACGAGTAGGCAATATAGCACTGAACCTTAAACAAAAATGCTAGAAATAATGGAGAAGATGAACACCGAATAGGAAGCAGTGGGTGTAGGTGATTAAGGAAGTTTGTTATTGTTATCATTTAGATATGAAATCCATCATCATTGAGAGAAAAAATGCTAAAGCCCATTATTGGTTATGAAATACAAGGGTGTATTATTGTCATTGATGAGGAAAACCTTTGTGAGGCATCAGAGGGGAGCTCTTATCACTGTCAATGAAGAGTTTTAGTTAAAGGAAACAAGATCTGGCCAAAAAAAGTTTTAGGGAAGAAGGGATAAAATGTAAAGGCGGCATAGACATGGAAGGATAAAGAAGTGAATTCCATGGTTATAGAGATGGAATCCAATTCAAGCTTTTTTGCTAGAATAAGAATTCTTAAGAATTACAATTCTGGTCTACCAAACATGCTTCAACCCAAAATCCATTTCCAATTCCAATTTCATGTTCAAGATTCTTGTCTACCAAACTAGGCCAAAAAGCCATGTTGAAGGTATCCACGTGTACTTGCATTCATTAGGATCAACATTAGATTGGTTACTGGTATGACAGGGAACTAGTGAAACGTTTGATTTTGCAATCAAAAAATTCTAGCTAGTCAACAATCCATTGAATCCTCTTTCTATCAAAGTTAAATTTGGCAAGGATTGAAAGGTGGATCGATTATATACCTGCCACACATTTTTTTAAAGGGAGAATTATGCTGAAATTCCACATAAGAGAATTAACTTACTCCAAAATTTATTAACAACTAAACTAAAGTTATTGGTAGTTAAAACCTGTATGACCTATATGTAATTCTCCTTTTTTAAAAGAATTAATTCATATTTATGAATTATAATTTATGTGTATCCATCTACATTAAGCATTTTAGATGGAAGGAAAATGAAAAAATGTACATGTATGAGTATATTAAGATAATACACACACAAACACATACTCCCTTGGTCCTAGTTATAAATTGTTTATACTAATTTCATCAATACCAGTGTAATAAAGTTATAAAGAATAAAAATAAGTAAAATTTTAAATATAATCTTTAAGTAAAAAGTAAAAAAAAAAACAAATATATAATATTAGTTTGTCTGTTTCTCTCTCTTACTTTTTAAGTGTAATTTGGATATTTTAGTTTTAAAAAAAATTCCATTAGCTAATGATTTATAAAGTTGACCAAATTATACTTTTAAAAGACGTCTAATATAAAGGATAGGAAGGAGTACTTTAGACGAAAGCCAAGGATAACAACCACGTCATGTTTAAATTCGGGATCACCTTTCCCAAGTAAATAAAATAACACTGTTACTCGGACACCTAGGGCATGTTTGGATGAACTACATTTCACATTTGGGAAGCACTTTCTAACATTTGAGATGGAAAAAGTTGTTTGTGAACCAAATGATTAGGAAAATGTATTTTTAAAAAGCACTTCCTAAAATGATTTGGATGTAGATTTGTAAAAGTAACTTCAGATAGCATTTGAAAAATAAGATATTATTTAACAATGCTATCTCTTTAACATGTTCTTCTTTCATGTAAAATATATTGTTAATTTTTTAAAAATATAATTATCATTTAAATAATAATTATCATTTAAGATTAAGTTTTTAGCATTATAGATTGAATTATTAATCTTATTAATTTTTAGCATTGTTATATTTTTAACTATTTATATAATTTTTGTTCAATATATCAAATTTTATATTTTATACTGTTGTTAATTAATATATCAATTTTTATGTTATTTAGAATTTTTAATAACCAATAAAGATTTGTCTAATTGGTTAAATATTTTTTGAATAAAAATTTTTATCATATATATCTTTTCAATCCCGTTAATTTTTAATATTAACATATGTTGAATTATTTATTATATAATTTTTTTAATATATCCAACTTTATATTTTTTATTTTTATTATTTAACATATTAAATTTTATAGTATTTAAAATTTTTATCATATTTTTAAAATATTTTAAAAATATTACATTTATATAATAAAAATTATAAATTATCATAAATCAATATCCTTATTAGTTATTATAGATTTAAAAGCACATTTCATTATCATAATCTAAATAACTTTTAGTTTATTAAATTAACTTTTAAAAAAATATATTAAATATAAATTTTGTTACAATAATTAATTTTTACTAAATTAATTTTTGTTAAACAAATTTTTAGCAAATAAACTTTAAAATGAAAATCAAACACATTTCTAGTTCAGTGACATGACCAAATATTTTGTTTCCAGTGCAAGACACACGAGTCTCAGTGCTATGGTAGCGAAAACATGGTAGCTAAAATATTCAGATTTTGTGCCCAAAAAAAGAAAAAAAAAAAAAAACCACACACACACACACACAAGTAGCATAATCTGGACTTTGGTATATGAGGTGCTTTCTCTTATTTGGGCCACTGTCCATCCTTCTTCAAGGCCCTGTAGAAAAAAGACCCCATTAGTCAAAATTCAAGAAGAAGACAAGCTTATTTATTTATCCATTTGATGGAAAAAAAGAAAAAAGAAAAAGGTAACGCATGATTGAATTGAATCATTTGATGATTATCGATACCATTTGAGCATTTTATTTTTCTATTAATGTTGCTTTGTTTCTGCCTTGAACCACATTAAAAAGTTGCAAGAAGGACAAAAAGTGGCGCGTAAACTGCGTCCATCTCGTTTCAGACAAATGCTAATAGTATTATTAATTGTTAATTTATATTAAATTTCAAATGGCAAATGATTCCATGTGACCAACAACACAATCTCAAGCCACAACCACCCCGTTGTTGTTATCCTCGTCGTCCTTTTGGGAAAATTACAATTAAGGATTATTAGAGATAATTAACTACATTACTTAATCAAATGATTCCTATATTATTTTGTAGGATTAAAGGATTTAAATATAATTAAAATTTATTGTGAAAAGACAAAACCACCCCTCATATGTGTATATATATACTCTTTTAACAGTAATTCTCCATTTGAAAAGAAAAAGTTTGATTTTCATTTTAACAATAATTAATTTTCTTATTTTCTTAGCAACTCAAAAAAATTAATTTGGCTGTAGAAAATAGTGTTATAATTTAGTAAATAAATTTCATTTAAAAAAAATAAATTTCATTTATATTTTAATAATAATTAATTTTTTTCTTAATAATTATAAAATATTAACTTGATAAAAATAAATTATTGTAATATGACAAATAAGTCATCATTTAAAAAAAATTTTATCTTTATTTCAACAACATTCAATTTCTTATCACAACGAATATGTATCAAGAGTAGCTTTGTTTTTTTATAATAAATTTCAATTACATTCAGATTTTTAATGCTATAAAGTAATATGAGAATTATTTAATTCAGCAGCGCAATTAATTATCTTCACGGTTTTTGATTGTGACTTTTTCAATCCTTTTTATTATTTGAAAACTTTAATCCTGCACAGCCACTTGAACGTTAGTGGAGCCCGGTAGCGAAATGGACTACCAGTAGTGGGCCCCCATCTTCTAACTCCATGCTTTTCTCGAAAGAAATCGTATTAACAAGTTTTCAAAATTGAAATGCATCAATCTCCACCGTCCGATAAATTCATTCATTCGCCCAGCCATGCCATTTGGCTCGCTGTCATTTTACAGTTACATAATACTTAAGTAAAATAATTCTGGTCTGAATAATTTGATTTGACCTTATTTTATTCCTATCACAGATTCACAGTTGTTCACTGTTAGGTATGTATTGTTTTTTTTTTTTAATATTTATGCATAGACTTTGAAGATGAATTCGTAAATTGTAACTCAATATTTTGTACAAAATTTAAGATAATTTATATACAATTTATTTATAACTAATATTCCTTCAGTTTAAAAATATAAGTTTTTTTCAAATTAAATATTTAAAAATATAGGATATTTTTAATATAAAATTAATAATTTTTTTAAATACTCATAATTAATAAATTATTTAACCATTCACATTAAAATTATGTATACTATTAAATAAGAATAAATATAAAAAAATATTATTATTTTAGATATAAATTGAGTGAAAATATGTCATACTTGCTAAAAAAAGTTGTAATAAAGATTAGAGCATTTTTGTTTGGTCTCAAACGAGACCAGAGACCTCTAAATTAATTAATAAACAACAAAGCAATTTATTAATTTTATATTTATATATACGTAAGAATTATTAATGAGAAATGATTCAATATATACCTTTTTTTGAGTAAGTAGATTAAAAAAAAATTGTTGATTAATCACCGAGAATTCTACTTCTGTTCTCACTGGACAATATCCGAGAACGCCGTTTCCAATCTTCTCTCTCTGTTCTGCACTTTGTCAAATAATGACAAAGTAAATCAAATCCAAGGGAAGCAAAGCTAGCAAAAGGAGTCACGGAGACATACCGAACAGGCACTACCCTGGTTAGGTTTTTGTCGTTCTAATTTCCTCGTCTCCTGGTTAAGACCAAACTTTGTCTAGTTCTGACAAGCTTTTCTCATCACGGAGAGCTTTGTGACGTCGAAATCCAAGGTAATTTATCTCAAACCTCCAGAGCTACTGTCTACCGTCTTCCTTCTCTGGTCCATGACTAGAAAAACTATCTTTTGGTTGAGTTACCTGTGTATCTTGGTGTCAATCGTCATTTTTGGACCGCAAATGAGCATTTGGCATCTTGATCTGGATTAGGTTGTTGGAAGTTGCTTGACTAGTTTGAACAAAGGCTTCTAGTGATTTTGCCAATATCTATAATTTCAATCTGAAAAAATTTGTTTGGATGCGACTCAAATAGTGATTATGTCTTAAATATGCATGATTTGAGATATTGGGTTGTTTTAGGACTTCAAGGAAATAGAGAATATGGATTGTAATGGGGATTATGTTGAGTCCCGGCCTGGAGTGTCTAATGCTCAGTCAATGGAAGATGGAGTTCTTCGGGGAGATGAAAGATGCTTTAAGCAAGTTTCGCCTCCAAGGGTTGGTGGTTCGAGGAATACGAGCCCTATGGGTCGTGCAGGGTCCAGGAACACTAGCCCGTCAAGGCAAAAGGTCATTAAGACCAAGCCACGAGGCTTAGACGAGGAAACACTCGCTACATTTGGAAAGGCAGTACATACTGATGTTCAAATGGAGGATAATATATGGGCAATGTTACCTGAGGACTTATTGTACGAGATCTTAGCAAGGGTCCCTCCATTTATTATTTTTCGGCTTCGGTCTGTCTGTAAGCGGTGGTATTCATTGCTTCAAGATAGCAGTTTTCTCCAGTTCCATTCGCGGGTGCCATCTCATGGGCCGTGTCTTCTTACGTTCTGGAAGAACTCACAAACCCCACAATGCTCGGTCTTTAGCTTGCCTCTCAAAACATGGTATAGAATACCATTCACATTTTTGCCTCACTGGGCATTCTGGTTAGTTGGTTCTTCCGGCGGTCTTGTTTGCTTTTCAGGGCTTGATGGGTTGACATTTAGGACTTTGGTTTGTAATCCTCTTACACAAACATGGAGGACACTTCCAAGTATGCATTATAATCAGCAGAGGCAGCTCATAATGGTTGTTGATCGAGTGGATCGGTCATTTAAATTGATAGCCACTAGTGATATATATGGTGACAAGTCCTTGCCAACTGAAGTTTATGACTCAAAGCTTGACAGCTGGTCAGTTCATCAAATTATGCCAGCAGTTAATCTCTGCTCTTCAAAGATGGCATATTGTGATTCCAGATTGTATTTGGAGACCCTTTCACCACTTGGTTTGATGATGTATCGGATAGACACAGGTCATTGGGAACATATTCCAGCAAAGTTCCCCCGCTCCTTATTGGATGGGTATTTGGTTGCTGGAACCCAGAAACGTCTTTTTCTTGTTGGGAGGATTGGCCTTTATAGCACTCTTCAGAGTATGAGAATTTGGGAATTGGATCATGCTAAAATCGTGTGGGTGGAGTTAAGTAGGATGCCCCCAAAGTATTTTCGCACTTTATTGAGATTATCAGCTGAGAGATTTGAATGCTTTGGACAGGACAATTTAATCTGCTTCACATCTTGGAACCAGGGAAAGGGCCTTCTATTTGACGTTGATAAAAAGGTCTGGTCCTGGATTGGGGGCTTTGCCCTTCAGTCATATAATAGCCAGGTTTGTTTCTATGAGCCAAGATTTGATGCTTCTATATACTAAGCTATGGCATGATGTGGGATGTCCATTCAAATTGACAATTGAGGGGCTTACCGAAAAATTTCTTCCTGACATGGATTTTTGACCATTAAATTCCTTCTAACAATTCAAAATTTATTTTGCAATGGGCTGATTTGTTTATCAGTCAAGTTCTCACAAGTACTACTAAGCAGATTCCTGATCATCAACACTGACTAAGCATCAGAAACAGAATTGAACTGTGCAGAGAGGGTGTCACTATGAATTAGGGTTCTGCCTTTGAAGTACACAATTGAGAAAGGTTGCAAACTTATATACGTGGGATTGGCATGTTAAAAAGGAAGGATGATGTTCAGGGTACAATTAGAAGATATTTTTTTTCCCTGAATAACTGCACGCCACTTGGAAATGTTTGTGACAATGAAATTACATATCTTCAAATTTCATTTGTTTTGACGCATTCTGGCTTACCAGTATAATGTAATTTCTTTTAAGCTTGTCTTGGACAATAACCTTGTATGACTTTTCCTGTAAAGGGGTTCGCCCCCACTGGCGGTTTATCAGTGAATCTTTTATTTTTTATGGTATCCTTCTTAGTGATCTCTACTGTAGTACAGGAACTGTTAATAACGAGATAGCTTATTCGACCAGAGTGACTAAGCTACTGTTTCTTGTTGCCATTGATGCGCCCACTCCCCCCCCTCCAAAAAAAAAAGGAAAAAGAAAAAATTCAAGTACTTTCATATATGTGGAAAAAGCCACTATTCTAGTCTTGTGTGAATATTCACATGCGCAGACATCAAATAATGTTTATCATGTATGTCAAGTCAAGAACAAACTATTGGAATTACTTGCTCCATTTAGCAGGTTTTCTCTAAAATTTCTGACAGATATGGGGATCAGGAAATGATTAATGTGATCCCAGAGTAATGGATGAAAGGTATTAATATAGCTTGGCTGAGATCTCTGAATTGTTAAAAAGCTGCTAATGAAGATTTTTTTGAGTTGGTTCTGGTATTCACGTTTTCTAAATTATGTTATTGTGTGGAAATCTTCACCCACGTCTAATTATTTTGATATACTTTCTACCAAAAACTGCTTGTGGTGATGGGACTACCCCATGTAGTTGTAGCCTAGATTGTATTATGTGTATGCTGTTATTGATTTGGAGGGACGTGATTCTTGATGAATTCTTGCCATATAATATACAATCATTCACTGGCCGGGATTTGATTTTAACAGTCTGACATGGGTGTCCTACATGCAATTGAATCATATCGTTGCATTTACCTTCACTTTGTAGGACCCAAATTTTTCTGTGATTCGTAATCTCAACAAGTGATATTTGGGTTGAACTCGCTGATATCTGGAGTTCATAATATCATTGCCTCAAAATTAAAGACTTTGTGGCTAACACGCTGAACCTGCTTGTAAGATAGATTCACAATGGACTATACCTTGCTTGCTAATTGTATTTTGGAACATCAACGGAAACATTGGATTTATTGCTTGCTAGTTGGGAGAGAGAGATTTTTAGTTCTTATTGCTATCAAGGCATCCATAGAAAGAAGGAATGCTGATTCTCTTTATCATTCTTTTGCTCATGTATCTGTCACTGACTAAGAATCTCCTGAGTTGACCATATGCTAATAGTCTTTCAGGCAGCTACAATGGTGCTTCAGTTCAATTTAGTTTTAATATATTAAACGACAACCATCTAGGTTCCAAGTTGATATCACTTGTGGCATCTCTTTAGCCATCTATTGCCACAGAACACTCTTAATGAGATTGCTTCTGTTTCTATTAATACTCAGGGAATAGAAGCTCCGTCTTGCTCCTGGAATCTGACTTCAAATGGCCAATTTAATGTCAAATCTTTTTATAATTTCTGTCAATCACTAGATTGGCAAGACACAGCCGTCAATTGGCTGAATATCTGGAAACTTCCTGTGGCCCAAAGAGTTAAAACCTTCATGTGGTTACTGGTTGAGGGAAGATTGGTGACTAACACTGAACGCTACAGAAGAAAGATGGCACTTGATTACGAATGCTTATTTTGCCACTCACCAGCTGAATCTATCGACCATATTTTCCAAGGAATGCTCTCTAGCTGCTAATGTTCGGCGAAAGGTGTTGATGCAGGATATGCATGCTGACTTTTATGGGAAGTCTCCAGCAATGGATATTACAAGTCCTACAAAACTCCCATATTGACATTTCCTGGAAAATTGAAATATGCATACTATGTTGGAAATTATGGGAGGCCAGGAATCGCTGCATGTTTGCTGATGAATCTTTCACGAAGGAGGAGTCATGTCCGAGCTCTTGTAGATCATACTGTCAATTTTTTCCACTTTTAAATCTCCGTTATAATTTTGTGTTCTTTGTACTGCTTTTTTGACAGCTTCGTGTCACGGGCTGAGAGTCTGGCGCAGCACACGGCGCCCGTGCGGCGTCCTGGAGGACCCCATAATCCTCAGGACAAGCCTTATCACATACGGATCACACTGGTTTCGCCCTGCCATGGGCTCATCAGGGAGGCGGCACTAGCCCCCGACCAGTTGTGCACACAGTCCGAAGACTGAGGCAGAACACCCCCAATGCTAATGTCGCCCCCTTTACCCATATTGTGCGAGGCTAACCAGCGGACCGTTCATTATCTTGGTCTTTACACGGTCACGGAAATATCATCCGTGACATTCTCCCACACCCAATCTAGCACGCCCTCGTGCTAGGGGAGAACGACTCTGCCCAAGGATCGTACGTACAGTACTGCCACAAACACATCAGCTTACTTGCTGAGTGGCCACCCGAGTCCTGCACTCTTTGAACCCACTCGCACCCGCGAGCCAACAGGAGTGGAGTCGACAACGGCCAACCATCCCGCCCGAGTCCCCACTTTTGGACCCACCTGCTCGGAGGCCTTTCTGGAGCGGTGCCGAGGCTGACCAGTCCCAACGTGGGACCCCACGCGCACACGGCAGTAAAGTAGGTCCTGCTCTGATACCACTCTGTCACGGGTTGAGAGTCTGGCGCAGCACACGGCGCCCGTGCGGCGTCCTGGAGGACCCCATAATCCTCAGGACAAGCCTTACCACGTACGGATCACACTGGTTTCGCCCTGCCATGGGCTCATCAGGGAGGCGGCACTAGCCCCCGACCAGTTGTGCACACAGTCCGAAGACTGAGACAGAACACCCCCAATGCTAATGTCGCCCCCTTTACCCATATTGTGCGAGGCTAACCAGCGGACCGTTCATTATCTTGGTCTTTACACGGTCACGGAAATATCATCCGTGACATTCGGCTGTTATGGCTCGTCTCTTTGTACAGTTTAATTGATATGATATTCCCTTTTCATTCGGAAGAAAAAAATTGATATCGCTTCTTGTTTTTTTTGGGCCAAAATATCGCTTGTAGTTTGATGCATGATTTTGAAGGAATATCATATAATACCTCTGATGTATCTTGATTTTTGTCTGAGCTGATCTGGCTTGAACCTAGACAATTAGACATGCTAAATGGAGTTCAAGGTCAGATGCTTGGATTATTTGACAGGAAAAGCGGATGATTCTCAAATATTAAAAGTAATGTGGTCCTGCACTGACTTTGGTACTTCAAATGAAGTACCAGCTGAAATGACCTTATTAGTAGTGTACCAGAGGATCATAACTCAATGTATATTTCAGACATATGCCATGTGATCTGCAGCTTCATTTATGTACCATGCTTTCATCAGGCATCAGAGGAGACAATATATATGCAAATTATGACCAAATGACTTGTTATGACTGCTCTGTTCAAATCAGACAACCACATTCATACTTGGAATTCTGAACACTTTCCCCCCATTTTGTTTCAAAATTTGTATTTGATTGTGTTATTTTTATTAATCTGTTTGATGAGATTTTTAAAATTTTCCTTATATCTAGGGTTAATGTACGGTTATGTGACAAGCATGTCAGAATCCTAGCCAGCTTTGGCAAGGTAAAAGCAAGGTTCCGCTTGTTGAGTTTCTCTCTCTCAGTTGAACAATACTTGTACAAACCCAAGAGTGAGAAGAAACAAGCAAAGATGAAGTGCAGATTGCTGCGTAGCTTTTTACTAGGGATTCTCTTGGTTACAACCCTGGTGGATTTGTCAGAAAGTGTTTTTTTAGTTAAAATCATCATATCATCATCGTTTATTTTACTTTCAAAATGATCAAACCATAAGATTGAGTGAACTGACTTTCAAAGCTGTAACAGCAGGTCTGGAAAGGAAAGAAAACAAGCCTGAGCTAAGAGAAAGCAACCTTAAGGCCCAGAAAGAGCCAAGTATGGTTTTTAAGAATGAAAGAAGCACATGCAAGGAGTTCAAAGATTTTAGGTGAAACCTAGCTTTAAAAATAGGATAATGACTTTGAAAGGGAGATATAAAAGTAACCTTTAGAGAAGGGGCAAAACTAGCGCACCCAGGAAGCTCAAAGGGCTGCTTTGTATATTTCACTTGTGAGTGAAACCATTGAAACCCTTGTGATTCTGCTGGCTTCGGCTTCGCAATGAAGACTTGTTTTGTTAATGTCTTGCTTGCACTCGTGTTACTTTCATGTGTGAATTCATGTACTGCAGTTTCCTAGACTTAATTTGATGCCCAAAATCCATATATTTCTGCTGAAGTTTTTCATAGAAAATTATATATACCATATACATAAACGTGTCAGTATGTTACCATGAAGTTATTAATGTGGCTCATCATGTGTGTCTGCTCTGGTGCTTCAGAGAAGGAGGATGACACTTTGAAGAAGTCTGTGGCAAGCTTACTGTAACAAATGAATGATCAGGTTCTACATTTATTGATTTTTTTTAAATCTTGGTTTTTCAAATCTCTACTGATAAGAGAATAACGCTATTGGGCCAAAAAAGAATAGTACTGATATTTTGAAATTCACCACTTATTTTATTAGTAGTAAACGCCAGACCCAACATTAATTTAAATAATTTCCACAGAAGGGGCATATGACCATATTGGTGCCGAGGGCATCCAAGAGCCCCAATTTGCAATTCAAAGGAGTAAGTCTTGTAGCAGGAATCCGAAGTGTTTCTGTTTGCAATATTCTAATGCAAAGGTGGCAGGTAGAGGCAGGTTTGGGAATCCTTCAAGGACTACTCAAAGACAAATGACTGAAGAACATCCTGAGAAAGATGAAGCCAAAAATCTTCGTGAGGCTGCAAATGAGATTGTGAATCTGATGCATAAGGATTACAAGGGACTGGCCTACGGCAAGCCACCTATCAATTATCTTGAGCCGAGAAACTGGGGGGAAAAAAAATGAAGTTTAGGCTTAGCCTTCTATTGGGTTTTTTTTTTTTTTTGGGGTAAGTGACAAAGGCAGCCGTAGGACGACTTCTTGTTTGTTTCCATAGAGTTATAGATGTAGAATGCTGTGTGGGTGCTGAACATCATTTTAATCTCCATATGACATCCTTTATGAATGCTATCAAAGAGGGGCGGACCTAGAAATTTTAATTAGGGGCGCTGAGGTTACAAAGTAAACACGTTCATATCATCATTACAAAAATAAGTAACTTTTTTTAAAAACCTTTTCCAATCATAATCTTTTAATTTTTGAATAAATAATTTTGTGGTATAAAAAATATAGCATTCAAGATATCTTAACATTTTTTGTTGCAATATTTTACAAAGTTTGTTTGTAATTTTCATAAAAAATTTATCAAATGTAAAATCAAAGTAAAATCAAATAACATTAATACTTTATGTATATTTATAATGTCACCTCGATGAGAATAAATAGATTGTGTGACAATTATATCTTCAAAAATTAAAGTAGTTATACTATACATGTATTTACTCTATAAAATTGAAATGAGAATATTGTTTGGTTCGCCAAGCCACTATAATGTGTTAACTTTATCCCTTCCTATTTTAATCTCATAATTTTCAACTAAATTATTGGCAATTTGAATTGCAAAAATATCCTTTAATTCATCATTGTGTTTATAAGAAGAACACACATTGTTAATAATCATATTCAAGTTTTGAAAGTATGAATGTACATCAATTACTTCTTTAACTACAACAAAAGTAATATATAATCAATGAACTAAGTTATGTACATAATATTTTAAGGGGAGTTGAAAATATGTAATTCTTACATTTTATTTGAAAAAAATTAAAAAATTATGGGCTATCTCCTGGTCCCTTCTCTCTTCCAAACCTATCAAAGATATGATAATGAATTGAGGATTAAAGTTAGAATATTATCATTTTTTTATTTCAAAACAACAGCCTTTGAATTTTAGTTTGTTTAAGTTTGTTTGATAATATGCTTCCAATATATATATATATATATATATATAATTTTAATTAAATATTAAATATGTTATCATTAAAATCCCAATGAGTGGACAAGAATATCCCTGAAGTGAAGAAGTTTGAAAACATAACATCCAAGGATCTTTGTATTAAATTTATATCACATAAAAATTAAATGATTTGGTATTTGCTCTGTAGTCCTCTGGTCCTTCTTTCGTATTAATTTTATAAAAAAAATGATGAAATTGTCCCTCAAGTTAAAAAACAAAAAAAAAAAAAAGAAACCCTACTATCCGCTACCATCAATGAGGTCATCGGAGCCCCTATTAAAGGCGGGGCTGCTGGTGGCTGATCACTAGACCTTCGGCATCGGTGACATATTTATTCAAGAATAATTGTTTAGGTGGCGAAGGGAGGTTTTGATTCCATGACCCTTGGCTACTTAAAAAACTTAGTGGCCTAGTAACTACTAAACCCTTTAATTATATATTGCAAACAAAAATATAAATAGTAAACCAAGCTTTTAACTACTTCAATATTAAAAACATAACGGTGTTTTGTTAATTTCTGAATAGAACTTGTTATTTTATAAATGTTACTTATTAATTTGACATGAACAATTACAAATTGAGAGCTTTAAAACTTTATACATTTTATTGTTAAAAGTTCAAATATATTGTTTTAATCACAAATAGGTTGTTGTCAAAAATCAAATCGATACTTGTTAATAAAAGACTAACATGTACAATTAAGCCCATTTTATTAGTTTTTCTAACTTGTTAAAATTAAAATAAATTGTTGTAAAAACCTAATGTGCACCTATTGATGAAATACTAACACAAACTATTAAACTAATCTTATTCGTTTTTCTAACTTGTTAAAGGTCAAATAAACTATTGTTAATTTAAAATAAATTATTGTCAAAACCTGAATCGATACTTGTAGTTGATGATTAAAAGCACATGTTTCATGGATTGTTACTTTTCTAGCTTGTTAAATCTCAATTGGATTGTCATTAATTTAGAATGAGTTATTGTTAAAACCCGAATGAATTCTTATTAATGAAAGATTAATATACATAATTATGTTCATTTTATATACTTTTCTAGCTTATTGAAGTCCAAATGGACTATATTTAATTTAGAATGAGTTGTCAAAACTTAAATTTATTGGGCTTGGGTGACCTCTCCAATGGCAGGGGTCTGGCAGTCGATGTCAAAGACAATGAGATTTCTTTTTTTGTTTTTGTTTTTTAATTTGAGGGGTAATTGTATCATTTTACTTATGAAATTAACATGAAAGAAGGGCCAGAGAATTGTGGAACAAACACCAAATTATTTAATCTTTATGTGATATAAATTTGATACACAGATTTTTGGATGTTATTTTCTCAAGAAGTTTTCCCTAAGCTACCTAGGAGGTGGGTCCACCATTAAAATAGCTTTTTCTTGCTTTTTATATTTTCTGTGTTCATGCCAAAAAATAGGGAAATGTTATTTGGTTAGAAGGAATTTAGATTCATGCAGAAGACAGAGGTATGGCGCCTCATACGATTATTAAAACCAAGTTATAGAATATGAATATATGATGGTCAATAATAATGTTTCTATGCACATTTGCATTGGTTCATTATTGTCATTTTATGTACTTGCAAGTTATAACATCTTTAGCTTTACCAATTAATTATATTTTCAAAGTAAGTAACTTTATAAAAAATTTATCAAACACTATATTTATTTCTTTCTAAACATCGACTTTTCTCAATATGTGTTTGCTGCAAATAATAAAAGTTCACAATATGTTAAACCAAACCGCAAATCCATAATCTATTTTAAGAATAAAGTTTGGTAAAGTTGGAAACTTTGAATCGTGAGGATTGTCATGGTACTGGTCTTTGTTTGAAAATTGAGAAAGGACCAGAAAGGTATAAGTCAATGTATTATCAAATGATTCTAATACGTGAAAATATTGTATGACGAAATTGAGTGCTCAAAATTGACCAAGTAATGCAATCAATGGCCGCCCTAATCGCCCTAATCAAACTTAGAACTTTGTAAGGACAAGAATTAAATAATTGTTAAGTATCATTATATTGGTAAAACTATAACATCTAAAAGATTCATCCCAATCACGTTATATTATATTTATACAGAACATCTATTTTCATATTTTTATTTCAAAAGATACAGACACAAAAATATTTCTATTTAAATGAATTAAAAATTATTATCACTTATTGAAAAAATAGAATGATCCTGAATGAGAGAAAAGACAGTGCAAGGTGCCAACTTCTTGAGGAAGATGACTAAATGCATTAAAAATTATGCAGGCTTGAGGAGGCACAAAACTTAAACCATCATATTTAGGGGCGGAAAACCTTAAGTATGAGTATTAATTTACTTACTTCATACGACAATAAAAATTATAGTTAACTAATTTAAAATTTATGAACAATATTAGTTAAAATTTTAAATTTTTAAATATGTTCATACCTTTTCATTTATATCCTTATTTAATATCTTATATAAAAGTTTTGATAATAATAATTAAAATTTTAATGCATGATTTTTTTAAAAAAGAGCAACGAAGTAGGAGTATAGTTAATAAAATGAATATAAAATTTATTTGATTCTCTATATTTTAAATTAGGTAAAATTTTTAATAAATGGCTTATAATGCGATTAAGAGAAGTAATTGTTTTACAATTTGTATTTAATTAAGTCACTTTGATGGTGGGCCACACAAACGCATCCAATATTACTACTAGTTTGCAACAGAATCCAAATGGCAGGCTTTTCCGGCTTCGTGCTTTCTTTAAATTTAGATTTAGATTTTATTTGAGACCCACTCCACTTCCGTGTCGTCACCACCAAATCCGCGTTTCTCTTTTTATTTCCATCCCGCTCCAACTCACGCTCGCTTCTTCTTTTTGAGTTTCCTCTTTGGTTTCCAGAGTCAGTTTCCTTCTTCCTTCTCTGGCTCGTTACTTAATCCATGTCGTTTATTGTGCTTCCAAAAGACGCGTAAAATTGGACGGGGTTCAAGTTCATGATCATTGTTCATGCAAAAACTGGTTATTCCATTTTGACGGCGTTCTTCTGTTGAATAGGTACGGAGTGATTTTTCGTGGTTGCTTTTCACGTTCTTCCAAACCATCTTTTGCTCTGACTTTTCCTTGTTTCTCTCTTGGTTTGGCTTGCTGGATTGTTGTGCTTCGTGGAGGGGTTTGTTTGTTCCGGGGGAATTTTGGTTGCTCGCTCGTGTTCTTATTGTTTTTGTTGTGTTCGGAAAACAATAACTTTTTCGGGGCACGGTTGATGAGTCCGGGAATAGATAACTATCTGTTAAAACCTTTGCTGTAATAACTGCTATGTGATCATAAAACAGCAAATTTTGTATATCTCGCCACATAATTAAAACAAATTTTGTCACAGAAACTAATAAAACATGGTGTATGCCGGGATGCATATTAATTCATGGGTATTTCTTTAATCTTTTCTCTCTCTACGCATCTCTGGTAACTTCTCTTAATATTCATGGATGTATTCTGCGGAATTTCAGTGTCATAATCAGGGTGTCGACGTCATATTCTCTCGTTACGTCACACCTGTGATGCTGATACTTAAAGAGAGTATTAAATATTTTAACATAGAGAGGCATTTTTAAGGTACTCTTTCAATTTGTTGCGGTTCCATAAGGCACTTCCCTGTTCCCTTCATATTTTTGTCATGAGAAGTAGTTCCAACCATTTAACTTCAATACCCGAAATTAGCAGCACCTTATATGTTTGCATTTGCAACAAATAAACAGCCAATGTAAATTCTCTATACTTCTATTCTGTCCCTCCTAGACACAGAATAATAAATATAAAGAGAACTCAGATCGCACAATGTCTTGAATGTTCAATTCTGTTAGTTCTCGTTGGATGCAGTCCTGAATTAATTTTAAATAATGTCAATCTTGTGACAGTGGACGTCTCTAGCGCCAATCTTCTGCACGATGATTTCTTTGTTTACGTCAAGAGAGGTCAAGCAATGGCTCGTCAAACTACTTTAGTTATCATTGGTGTCACAGTTGGTGTGGCCTTTGGAATTTTTATTGCTTCCCTTGTATTTTTTGGGATAAGGTGGTATAAGAAGCATGCTCGTCTTACACATTCTGCAAAAGAGAGTAGTTTAACCACTCTTCCAATACGCACAAATGGATTAGGAACAAGCACTGACTTTAGTGCATCTCTTACAAGTTCCATATCCAATTCGATGTCAGAAAATCTGCAAAGAACCTCCAATTTCTCTTGGTGGAGTCATCAAAACAAAGATCGATTTTCTCCGACATCTAGCATTTCAAAGTACTCATACAAGTATGTATATCTCTCTCTCTCTTTTCCTATCCATTTCTTTCCATCAAAACTTTTTGTTATTGGATGGCTACTATCAGAGTGAAAAGCTTATTAATCATTGGTATTAAAATATGCTGATTGTTTGTGGTTTTGTGAAGGCGCTGCTGTCTCTTTAATTCTAACGAAGTTTTATTGTGTGATAGAGAATAATATGAAAAAAAAAAAAGAAAGAGTAGGAAAAGTAGGACTGGGAATTGCATATTAAATAACTTCTACGAAGACATGAACATTGGTAATGGTATATCTGATGCTTTACATGTCCAGAGAAATCCAAAAGGCCACACAGAATTTCACCACTATTTTGGGACAAGGATCATTTGGCACAGTTTATAAAGCTACAATGCCTACCGGAGAGGTGGTGGCTGTAAAGGTGCTTGACTCTAATTCTAAACAAGGGGAGAAAGAATTCCAAACAGAGGTGCGAGAAAAAAAATACTTTGATCTTGATGCTAGATTAAACATTATTGAAAAAGATTCTATAATTGCTGTTTCATTTCCTTGCCTTGTCCCTACCTTTTCTAATCGCTTGGTTTTCAAGAAATCATGGTTGATTTGATGGTTGTTGTTTGTTGTTTTGGCCTAAGTCAAAACTATAAATTTGAAGGAACTTTATGCATCATGATAATTTAAATTGGCCATAAGTAGCCTGTGTTTTGAAGAGGAACTTGTTCACATTAACTTAAAAAAAATTAGTCAAGTTATATAAATGTCAATCAGTACTAACTCTTATTTTGGTCATCATTCTTGAATGACCTAATCTAAGAAATTCTTGGAGTTTGTAAGCACATTGTTCAATGTGATTATTAGGATTGGCACATGATAGCCTACAAGGGCAATTAATTCCTTTATTTCATCAGAAAGAAGACATTATTATTTTGAAATGGCACCGGATGGCCATACTTCAACCTGGTTTTGTTATACTGAAGAAACTTGTTTGAGAAACTCTGACTATAACTTAAATCTTTCTTTAGTCAAGCTTGTTGAATTTTCTAATGTTACAGGTGCTTTTGCTGGGAAGGTTGCATCATCGGAATCTTGTGAATTTAGTAGGATATTGTGCAGATAAAGGACAGCGTATTCTGGTTTATGAGTTCATGAGCAATGGAAGTTTGTCAAACCTTTTATACAGTAAGTTGAAGATCTCTTGCACATCTAAAGAACTTCTATTGTTATGATAACTGTATATTGAGACTAACTTGATATTGCCATCAAATATAAGGGGAGATTTTTTTTCAGTGTTGGTCTTCCAAAGATACAACTTCTCATTTAGTTCCCCAATCAAATTGGTCCCTTTAATGAGCATTTGTAACTCTTTAGTGCACTAAAGTCAAGCTCTAAATCTCTTAACACAACTGATGTTAGGGTATTGACGATGAAGGCACCTGGCCAAGTTCATATCACTCATTATCAGCCACATGTGATTCTACTTTTTCTTGAGAAAGTGTTAACTTTGATTTAGGAAAAATGTTTTGGGGACTAAATTAAGAATAAGAGGCTTGATCTTTTGATGATCAAATTAAGAAAAAGTAATCTTTCAGAAAGTAAGAAACTAAGTTGAGGGACTTTATATTTGGAGGACCAAATTGAAAACAAAAGAATCTATCAGGAAATAAATAATCAATGTACTCTAGCGTTTGTTGATATATGATTATTATATGGGGAAAATGCAAGTGCACCTCTTCAATTTTAAGAATCAAAGATTAGTCTTCTAACCTGTCATCCTCCTGCATTTAAAACTGTCCCACCAACACAAGATGTCAGGTCACACCTTTCCTTAGCCACATGGCATGCCTCCATTGGTTTAAAAGTGAGCATGGGCAGTTAAAATATTAAAACAAAAAGGCATGGGTTGTGATGATATACCCCAACTTAGATCCTGACATTCACAAATGCTAGAGGATGAAAGCATAGGAGGGTAATTGATTGTTTTTAACGTTGAAGGGGGTGTATGAAAATGATCTTCATAGTTCAGGGGGTAATTTATATTTTTGCCTTGTTATTTTGTTTTGTCCCTGGCTGAGACATACAAGAGCATATGTGATGTAACACACACTCACACACACTTGCACGGTGCTGGACAGAGGGAAAGAGTAGAGAGAAATCAGAAATAAGGAAGAAGAAATGGGAAGATGAAGACAGAACAGTGGGGCAGCAAGGGGTAGAGGCAGAATGCAGAGGGAGAGAGAAAGCTATAAGATTTCACACATAATACTCATTCATTCATCAAAAGTGTTATTACAAGAGCAAAGCCTAATCTATTTAAACTAAACTTTCCTATCTATTAAGGAAACCTTGATAACTTGGCTAGATAAAGCTAAGGTTCAGATTTCCCTCTTTACAAAGGTATTAAAATAATGCAAAAGTAACTTACTTTTTCCTAGATAGGTTTCTTGCAAGCAACATACAATGATAATAAGCTACTAGCCTGGGTGTCTTCAAATATGTTGTTCTCATATTTCATCATTCTCCCTTGCTTGATGGAACTCTCCTCCGGAGAGTTAAAAAAAAAAGTTGATGTAACTCCACTAGAGCACGATGTAGGGAATTCCTCCCGGTAGCAACTTGATAGAAGAAGAGATATAGATGAAAAGAGAGACTGATTTCATTCATATCCTTCATTGCACCCTAAATACCCTATTTATAGAGAATATATCAAAATACCTAGACTACCCCTTTTATCCTTAATTCCCCCAATTACCCTTTTTATTTCCAATTCCCATATTCCCATGTATCAGTGTACTTCCCCTTAAAAGAGATCATTGTCCTCAAGGATTAGTACAAAGATGAAAAGTTAAAACCTATATCTAATATATGACTTCTTCTGGTGCCATCTCCTCTTGAGCGTCTACAAATAGCTCTGCTTTGTCTTCAACAATGAGGGAGAAGACCTACAAATCTCGGCAACGGTGTGCATTGTTGAATTTGTCATCACACTAATAACACAAGCCCTTACGCCTACGATCATCCATCTCACTCTTTGAAAGTTGTTTTGAGGGCCTAGAGGATGCCGAACTGGAGGTGCTAAAGGATGGGTTCTGTTTGAATTTGTTTGTTAATGGGCTTGTTGTGGATATGGGCTTATTAGCCGAGTCAATGGTGGACATAGGCTCAGTAATCTGGTCATTGGTAGATATAGGTTTAGTAAGCGTGTTACCCTTATAACCCGATTGGGAGAAGACTGGAGATCGAGAGATTGCAGAGGACATGAGCGCAATGGAGAAAGTAGAAGTCGTTGTCGCACTAGGGGCGTGTTTGTGAATCGCACGAATAGCTGCCATTTGCCTCTGGGCCAATTTCATTGTGCTTGCCAAGGAAGACGGTTGAAGGCTTAAAACACTCTGTTCCACATCAGTCTGCAAGCCTTCAATGTAGCAATTCATGGCTGCTGCCTTTAATAAGTTGACTTCTGTAAGCAACTCATCGAATTTCTCCTCATATTCTTCAACAGAGTCTTGCATCTGCAACTTCTTTATAGCAATCATGGGGTTTTCATCTTTTATATCCCCAAATTTAGTTTCCATTTCGCAAAAGTATTCCTCTTATGATATCTCGCCCAAACGCCTTTATTTAGTAAAGGCTAAGTGCTAACGCAGGGTATGTTTTTCCAAGTAGATGCTAAGAAGACGAATACACTGGTCAACAGGTGTCACATTCATGTCAAAAAATTGGCAGCAATGGTAGGCCCACCCTCAAAAGTCAGTGCCATCAAATTTGGGAAATGCGACTCTGCTACTCTTAGTAAGAACAGAGTATGATTTGGGTGGTGTGGGAAGGAGACCTTGGAAGGAACCGGACTGAGGCAGTGGTGTGAAAATGGGGGGAGGGGGTGCTGAGGCAAAAGGGATTGTTGGTCGAGATAAAGGGGTGGTGGTGGGATTGCTATTGGGGGCGGAGGGAAAGAAGTTGTAGGTCGAGGGAGAGCGACAGAGGGTGTTTGGGAAGGTTGCTGGGAGGGTTCACCAACTTGAAGTGGAGGGAAACGTAATGGTTGATTTGCTAGCATAGTAAGCTTATCAAAAATCTCCTTAATAAACTGAGACAAGGTAGTTTTAATCTCAGATATATTATTAGCGTGTTGGTCTAGAACTTGTTGAGTACTTTGAAGTAATGAGGATTGCATTTCCAAGCGATGTTCCAAGTCGTCAACGCATTCAGTCGAGGACCGCGTCTCCGGCGGAGACATGATCGGAGAGATGGCTTTGATACCTTGATAGAGGAAGAAGAGAGATATAGACGAAAAGAGAGACTGATTTCACTGACATCCTTCATTGCACCCTAAATACCCTATTTATAGATAATATATCAAAATACCCAGACTACCCCTTTTATCCGTAATTCCCCCAATTACCCTTTTTATTTCCAATTCCCATATTCCTATGTATCACAGCTAATCTAGATATCCTTTCCAACATACAAGATAGTAGAAGATGAGACTATGTGGAGAGTAAGCAATGTGATTATAGTGATTTGGAAAACCTTCCAATGAACAAGGTAGTTGTAGAGGCTGTTATCAAATGGGAAAGCAATATAATCTTTCATAACCACAACTTCTTTTCCAGCAAATGTTGTGGCACATGGATGATTGGAAGTAGGAATTTGACAAAGTTGAACACTCCTCTTGTCGAGATCCTTAACTTGATAAATCTCTAAGGCTTGCAATTCAAGATCTTTGGCCACCAATTTCTAACCTTGATTCAATTCAAGACTCATGCTTTCATATTTCATGGAGTTTTCCTTTAAATCAGCATCATTCTCTTGTTTCGTAATAACATTTGTGCTAGCCTCAATTATTGCCTTGACTTCTTCCATAACTAAGCTTCCAATTTTGAGACCACTAATGTTGTTAGTATCTTTTTTTTTGTGTAACTGACATAGGTGAAGCTTTTTGATGAGGATACTATTTTCTAATGCCACAAAAGAATCATGATCCCCTTTTGGTCTTTACAAAGTTTTTCCCACAGCACACTTATGTACACAAAAGAGCAAAATTAGATTTGGTACTTGGAATGTTGGGACATTAAATTGTAAATCTGTAGAGGTTGTAGGGGTTATGATTCAAAGGAAAATCAATATCCTTTGCTTGCAAGAAACAAAATGACGTGGAGAAGCTAAGGATATTCAAGGTTTCAAACTTTGGTATACAGAAAAGTAAGTGCACGCAATGGAGTAGGCATCATTATAGATAAGGAGTGAAAGAAGAACGTTGTAGAAGTTAGCAGAATTGGGGACAGAATTATTTCTTTAAAAATGATAATTGGACGTGAGACTGTTAATATTGTTAGCGCTTATGCGCCGCAAGTCGGGACAGAAGCCAGTCTTAAGGAATTATTTTGGGAGGATCTGGAGGGTTGATTCGACACATACCACAGAGTGAAAAGATTTTTATTGGAGGAGACTTTAATGGGCATGTCGGGAGGGAAGCTGGTCAGTATGCGAGGGTGCATGGTGGTTTTGGTTTTGGAGAGCTAAACAATGAAGGACAAACTCTTCTTGATTTCTCATTGGCGTATGATTTTAAGATTGCCAACACTTGTTTCAAGAAGAGAGATGAGCATCTCATCACTTACAAAAGTGGAGCCTCAAGGTCACAGATTGATTTTCTTTTGGTTAGGAACACAGATAGAAAACTTTGTAAAAATTGTAAGGTGATCCCCGGAGATGCTGTAACGACACAACATAGGGTCCTAGTCCTTGATGTGTGTATTATGAGTAAAATCCAAAAACGTCGACAAGTAGTAACACCAAGGATTAGGTGGTGGCAATTAAAGGTGAGAAGCAAGATATTTTCAAGCGAAATCTTTTGGATAAAGGAATTTGGGAATCTCAGGAAAGTGCTAACATCATATGGGAGGATATGGCTAAAAAGATACGGGAGTTGCAAAAGTAGTTTTGGGAGAATCGAAAGGTTCTGGTCCGAGAGATAAGGAGTCTTGGTGGTGGAATAATAGTGTACAGGACAAAATCAAGTATAAGAAGAATTGTTTTAAAGCCATACATTTGTGTAACAATGAGGAAAATTGGAGAAGTACCGTATGGCTAAGAAGGAAATAAGAGAGCTGTGGGTGAAGCTCGTTCTAAAGCTTTTGAAGAATTTTATAAGAACCTTGAGACGAAGGAAGGAGAGCAAAATATTTATAAGATTGCCAAGAGTAGGGAAAGAAAATCAAGAGATCTAGAACAGGTAAGGTGTATTAAGGATGAAGAGGGAAGATTTTAGTTACAGATGATGAAATTAAAAATAGATGGGAGACTTATTTTTCTAAACTTTTCAATGATGGAGAGGATTCATCTAGTAACTTGGAGGATTTAGTAACTGTTGAAGGAGAACAAAATTTGTCATTCTATCGAATAATACGTGATAAGGAGGTAAAGGAAGCTCTTAAGAAAATGGCAAATGGTAGAGCCAACGGACCTGATTGTATATCTATTGAAGCGAAGGGTGAGATGGTTAACTAAGTTATTTAATGTGATTTTACGGTCCAAGAAAATGCCTGATGAGTGGAGGAGAAGTACATTAATTCCTATTTATAAAAATAAAGGAGATATTCAGAATTGTACTAACTATAGAGGGATTAAACTCATGAGCCACACAATGAAATTGTGGGAGAAAGTAATTGAGCACAGGTTGAGATTGGAGACAAGTATTTCTGAGAATCAATTTGGTTTTATGCCAGGTAGATCAACTACAGAGGCGATTTATCTACTAAGGGATTAATGGAAAAGTATCGTTGTAAAGATAAAGATCTACACATGGTTTTTATTGATTTGGAAAAAGCTTATGACCGTATACCAAGAGAAGTGCTTTGGAAAGCGTTGGAAAAAAGGGAGTACGGATTGCTTATATTAAAGCCATACAAGATATGTATGAGGGGGTAAAAACTAGTATAAGAACGCCTAGTGGTCAAACAAAGGATTTTCCTATAAAGATTGGACTACATCAGGGATCATCTCTGAGTCCTTATTTGTTCAACTTGATTTTAAATGTTTTGACGGAACATATTCAAGAGGAAATCCCGAAATGTATGCTCTTCGCGGATGATATAGTTCTTATAGCAGAGACAAGAGAAGAGGTTAATTGCAAACTTGAGTTATGGAGGAGGACATTGGAGTCGAAAGGTTTTCGTCTGAGTAGAAGTAAGACGGAATATTTATATTGTAAATTTGGTAAAGGACTATTCGAAAATAATTTGGAAGTGAAATTGGGAGATCAAATTATACCTCAAGTGGAAAAGTTTAGATATTTGGGAGCCATTATTCAAAATGATGGCGAAATCAGTGGAGATATTTCACATAGAATTCAAGCTGGGTGGTTTAATTGGAGAAAAGCTAAAGGAGTTATTTGTGACCGTAAGGTGCCTAATAAACTTAAAGGAAAGTTTTATCGCACTGCTATCAGACCGGCAATGTTATATAGTAGTGAATGCTGGGCTCTAACGGGACAGCAAGAGCATAAAGTTGGAGTAGCAGAGATGAGAATGTTACGATGGATGTGCGGACATACACGTAAAGATAAAATTCGAAATGAGCATATACGCGAAAAAGTGAGGGTGGCACCTATTGAGGAAAAAATGGTAGAAAATCGGTTGAGATGGTTTGGGCATGTACAAAGAAGACCAAGGGAGGCACCAGTGAGAAGAGTGGAACATATAACTTTGAGTCCGATTAAGAGAGGTAGAGGAAGGCCTAAGAGAACACTCTTGGAAGTTGTTGAACGTGATCTCTTAATTAATAATATTCCTAAAAGCTTGATAAATGATAGAGCACAATGGCGTCTTGCAATCCATGTAGCCGACCCCACCTAGTGGGATAAAGGCTTGTTGTTGTTGTTGTAACTTATGTACACACTAAAAGCTCCTAAATTTTTCATCAACCTTACTCCATTATTTCTTGAACTCTTGATTTTTTTTCTTTCCCTATCTTCCTTACCAGCCTTACGAGATTCCTCAAGGGCAACTATTAGTGATTCAAGACATAATAAACACAAACTAAACTCTCACAAATGATTTATTCCACATATGATAGGTCTGAACAGGAGGAACCATGCAAAAAAAAAAAAAACAACAAAAAAACAATGAACTAACGGGTTTTGAGATGGTCATTGGCTTACGAACAGGCTTTAAAAGCCTAAAAGTTGTACTTTTACCCCAATAATGCTTTGAATGATGATTTGGGACCCTCAAGTTGCTCAAAACTGTAGAAAACTCTTTGAAAGCATCCAAAATGCAAAAAAAATTCAGATTCTAGGAACTATGCACGTCAGCGCATGAAGTCACGTGCAAGGACTGTCGCTGGCGCGTGAATTCCACACATAAAACACTCCACTGGCACGTGGAGGCGCGTGCGACGGAGAAAGGAGGTGATACTTTGAGTTCTGATTGGATTCCTGCTCTTGAACATGATGGTCAGGGTGGTTTAGCGATTGACATTGGGAAGTGGGGGTTTTTGGGTAGGCAGCGTGGAATAGGGTCTGCGAGGTTTTCAAGTGAGTTTTATGTGATTTTCAGGTGACGGAAATGACCAAAGAACGTAGGAACACAAGCTTTGATACCATACTGATGTAACACACACTTACACATACTTGCATGGTGCTGACAGAGGGAAAGGGTAGAGAGAAATTAGAAATAAGGAGGAAGAAATGAGGAAGATGAAGACAGAACAGTGGGGGAGCAAGGGGGAGAGGCAGAACGCAGAGGGAGAGAGAAAGCTATAAGATTTCACACATAATGCTCATTCATTCATTCATCAAGTGTTATTACAAGAGCAAAGCCTAATCTATTTAAACTAAACTTTCCTATCTATTAAGGAAACCTTGATAACTTGGCTGATAAAGCTAAGGTTCAGATTTCCCTCTTTAAAAGGTATTAAAATAATGCAAAAGTAACTTACTTTTTCCTAGATAGGTTTCTTGCAAGCAACATACAATGATAATAAGCTACTAGCCTGGATTTCTTCAAATATGTTGATCTCATATTTCATCAATATGCTTTTATTATTTTTTTATATCTTCTTTCTTTTGTATCCTAGGTGAAGAAAAGGCTTTGAGTTGGAATGAAAGGCTTCAAATTGTTATTGATATTTCACACGGAATTGAATATCTTCATGAAGGAGTATGTTTTTTTTTAAAAAAAAGATATATATTTCTTGTACGTTATGTGAGAATACATTTGTTTAATATCAATATGCATGGAACAGGCAGTCCCACCTGTTATACATCGTGATTTGAAGTCTGCCAATATATTGTTAGATCATTCAATGAGAGCTAAGGTAAGCTTTCTTTCGTGTGATTTGATATGTTAGATTTCCAATGTGGTTTCTAAAATTTGCATATGATATTCTATCCTTCCATGTTATTGTGATTCAATAAATCTAGTAATTTTCATTAATAAAAGAAGAATTTCAAGGGCATTTGTTTAAGAGATTTTATAGTGATTTTTTTTTTGGTTATTTGCTTAGTAAAAAGAATTTAACATTGAAGTTATCAAATGCATTGACGATTATCTTCATATACATCACACCTAGCCTACATTCCTTTCTCGGTTTCCCCAAGGTTGGAAGATCTATGTTTTGCATATGGGGGTTAGTACTGGATTGCTGGTTATATTATCTTCGGTGAATTTATGTATAACTTACTTTTGTTGTTCCTGTTCCCACAAAAGCAATTTGAGCGGCTGGTATCTTGCCTATCCTGTGTAAACAGTTGAGTTGAGTAGACGCAAAGTACATCTCTAGCCACATCAGAAGTCTAAAGAGAAGACTGGACTTTTCGATTTTGATAGTCTTAAAAAGACCGGAGGGGGGGGGGTGGGGACCCTTCTCATTCATTTCCCGCACTTCACCTTTTCAAAATCTTCTATATCATACCCCACCGGTTCTTATAGGTCAGGTGTAAATTATAGAGGTGACTTGTGATCTCTAACTTTAAGTTGTTTTGGTTAATGTGAAACGCCATCAAATTATTGACAAGCAGAAATTTTTTAGTAATGTATAGATGATAAATATATATATGTATATAAATATAATTATTTATATATTTGTTTAATAGTATCGATTGGCCCTGTTGCCTAACATTTGTTGGCCACTGCTCTCTTTCCCTCCTCTGCCCCTTGTGTATTTCCTCTTCAATTTTTATCGCTAGGAGGCAAATTCCTGCTTAATAACACAGAAGATTTTGCCAGACTTATTCTTACCCCATTCATAAGAAAGTTTTTTTTTTTTTTCTTTTTTTGGGAGTTTATACTTATCTTGTCCACCCCAAGCAGTTTGCTTTATATATATTCTTTTCTCGTAGGCTCATGTGATATGACTTTCTAACATGTCATAGTTGCTCATTCTTGTGATAACTTCAACGTAACAATCAGGGAAAAAAAAATTATTGTGACTGTGGATGCTAGCGTTTTAGTTTGAATCATCTATGATTATATATCTAAACTATTTTCCAAATTGTGATTGTGTAGGTTGCTGATTTTGGCTGTCAAAGGAAGTGATCTTTGATGGCCGGAATTCAGGCCTTAAAGGTACATACGGCTACATGGACCCAGCATACATTTCCACAAACAAGTTCACAATGAAGAGTGACATCTACAGTTTTGGTATAATCATTTTTGAGCTCATTACAGCCATCCACCCGCATCAAAATTTGATGGAATATATAACCTTGTAAGAATTTCTTTCTTTTTTTTTCTTTATGCCATGGAAATCCTTGATACTCGCATTGTAATCCATCCTCCTAGATCTCCTTTGGGTTTCTTCTAATTGGCTCATCTCTTTCTGTAAGGCTGCTATGGATCATGATGGCGTGGATGAGATACTTGACAAACAACTTGTAGGAAAATGCAACCCTGAAGAAGTAAGGCAGCTTGCTAAAATTTCATATAAATGTTTGCACAAATCTCCTAGGAAACGCCCCTCCATTGGTGAGGTTTCACAGGGCATATTGAGAATAAAAGAAGGCACCTTGTGAAAGAAGATACCTTGTCATTTGCAGGCAGTAACTTTTCCAGAGCTTTGAGTCGAATAGAGGATCAACAAGTTGAATTAAATAGGTTAGCTACCATGAACCACAGAGAAACTGGGTGAACACAATTGCTTTTACTTGGAGTGGAATCTCTTTCTGTACTCGTTTGGAAACAACTGAGATGTACAGGAGATTGATGAAACAACTACGAAATTTTGAAGCTACTGTCTCAGTTTTCTGCAAATGTTGTTCTTTGCTGACAGTTTCATTCACGAAGGGCGCATTCCGTGTTTGATTCTTGATAGTTCTGGACCTCTGGTGCAGGAGAGCAGAGAACCAAGCACGTTATTTTCACAGGATAATTGATGATGATTATATCAGTTTTTAAAATTCTTTGAAGTAAACCATCATCTGCCTTCCATGCTGACAAAAATCTACGTCTTTGGAGGAAAATAGGATTACGGAGAGGGCCACCGAGCAACGCAGGAATGTAGTAAAATGAAACACCAAACCCCCCCCCCCAAAAAAAAGTGTGTAAATGTGAGAGAGAGAGAGAGAGAGAGAGAGGACAATTCAGACGAAAGAAAACGGCATTTTTCCTTCACTTGTTCATTTAAACAGGATAGAACCTGTCCCTTCGGGGACATCAATTTTGGAAACAAGACGGAACCCAAGGTAAATGCACATTGCTATAACGTTCTTTTGTATGGCCCAGGCCCAGTGAAATCATGAGTTTTTATTTTTGGACCTGACATCTGAGTTGATTAACTTGCTTGTATCCTGCGAGTAGTAATAGCAGCACTCAACGGGGATGGACCTGCGTACAGGTCTTCGGTGCCAGTGCCTCACATGGAAAATTCCATTTTGCTTATTTTTATTTATACAATGTATATAATATAGGTGATCTCCATGCTCCCTCAATTTTTTATTGTTAGAGAAATTATCACTTTTGATTTATATTTTTTTATAAGTAAAATTACCCATTGATAAACATTTATTGCATATTTTTTAAATCACCCCTCGTAATTTACATTAACGACAAACAATTAATGTATACTTATGTTGATTAATATAGGGCATTTCAGTTTACTTTTTTATTTTTAAAATAATTATTATAATTAATTGACTTTTTTAGACTGTGAGATATAGGGCCTGTTTGGAAACTTGTTTTGAAAATAGTTTTCTGTTTTCAGAATTAGAACAAAAAAATTTGTTTGATAATATATTTTTAAAATGTGTTTTTGAAAATAAAAAATAAAATATTGTTTTGGAGAACAAACAAATGAAAATAACTTTTAAGTGTTTTAAGATTATTGTTCTGGAAAACAAGAGAAAATGAGAAAAATACCTGTTTTTATTTTTTATTTTTTTTATTTTCAAAAACAATGTTATAACTAATCAATTTAACATAATAAATAAAAATAACTTCAAATAGTCCTGTAGTATTTTCT